CTTGGCCCTCGCCTTCCACGCAGCACAGCCACAGTGGACACAGGTGCTGCTCGGAGGATCCAGGATCTGGGGCTCCACAATGAGGACCTTTCCTTTCCTCGCTCAGGCAGATGGGGTTCACTTCTCTTGGGGGGCTCTGTATCCATGCGAAGGCCTCTCGGCCACCAGGAACTCATCTCTACCTGTCTGGAGGCTTGGGAGGGACCTCTGTCCTCCATCCTTTCCACCTCTGCTCCTGGGGTGTGTAGTGGTCACCTTTCTACAGCCACAGCAGTGCAGGTCCAGTCAGGGACTGGAGAGCTAAGTGGACATGGCCTCTGCCCCTCTGGTGCCCCGTGCGACAGCCAATTGCTCCTCCATCGGCTCCTCAGCCACAGATCCACAGCCTCATCCATGGCTTTCCTTCTCCTGGAATGCTCTCCCCCAGACAATCGTCATCTGTTCAAATCCTCCTCATCTCGGTGGGGTGGAGGTGGGAATTGAGATGTGTTCTATCCTTGCACCAACTCCCCACGAGGAATGTGAACAGTATGCACTGCATGCATGGACTGATAAGAAAACGCTACTCATCTTTCAGTTCACATCTCAAAAGATACTCTAATGCATTGTTTTCAGATCTCCCAAACACAGATATGTATGCAGTATATCTTTTTTGAAACTTCCTAAGGCATTGTGCTTGTCTGGTGTCTCTAGCGCATTCTGCTGTCTTCTGGCTATGAGTGAACCTACAAGTTCCCAGGGAGCAGGCATGATGGCTTCATCAGCTCTGCAGCCCTCTGGATCTAGCAGAAACCCTTATGTATAGCAGTGACTCGGTACATAGTGACATTTTTTTAGTTACACTTAAAATGTATATCATAAATAGAATTTCTCTCATAACAACTTTGCCCTATGTTTTTGAACAGAGAGGACAGCTATAATTCTAAAAGTAAAAGAAAGTAGAAAGAGCCTGGCAGACCTCAAAGGCTACAAATATAAACAGAGCCACAGCCTAAAATGAATTCATATAAATGGTTCATATACTTCCACCGAGCAGCACTGCATTTTATACACTTCTCTTCTAATGGTCAAGACATAGAATTCTTAGTGTCACACGGAGACTCACAACCTTCAGAGTGCAGCATGAATCAGCTGGCTCACTGCAAAGAGAATGTAAAATGCCATCAAGAATGTCCTAACTGGAGCAGTAAACTTTTAAAGTACAAACAATTCATCTGTTAACATCCTGGCATTTTGCTGTCTAGAAAGTGAATACATTAGAGAGAGATCTTCAAAGAGATCCCACTACCTATGTGCAGCCACAATTTCCAACCAGAGGTCTGTGCCAGACTAAGGCCAGAGGCATGGTGGCCCAGCCTTTCAGCACCAGCAATAAACAGATGTGATCCCTTGACCCCAACGTGCAGAGTTTCTACCCACTCAGCTCTGAGTCCAAATAACTTCCTTGGATGGAGCAACACTTGTCCTCCTCCCAAGAACACTGGAGCATGACTCTCGACTGGACAGGCTGCAGGAGAATAGCAGGAAAAGCACACAACGGAAAACAAATTTCCCCTGCTATCTTGCCTTTCTGGTTTTTCATAACCTCACCCTAGTTAGTCTGATCTACTTAGGGGACTCCAGAGATCCCTGTACCCAAGTAAGGTACCCACCCAAAGCAGCAGCTTTATTTTGAGGAACTGTGCTGTTTTTCCTCAGAAGCCTTGGTCAGCAGTTTTCTACAGCTAAAACTGGCTTCCTTAGATGGGAGTGGGAGAAGAAGAAGAAGTAAGGAAATGTAGCTCAGCAGGCCTTCCCAGGAGAAGAGATTCTCTTCATTTCTTCGATGTTCCACCATCGCCTCATAAGCAAGTGAGAAACAGGTAGATCCAGAAGAATAGAGGGGATGAGGGAGGGAGCTAAACACAGAGAAAAATATGGCACCATTGTCAGGAGCCATTCTACATAATTTGGGGGAAAAATCATTTCACAATTAAATAATAAGGAGGGCTGTCTGAGGCCTCAATAGTCCTGTGATGCTGTGAAGCTTAAGGGCAAGGTTACATCAGCTGAAGACATCCTGGGTCTTTGAGAACCAATAGAAAGGTCTCACCTGAGGAGGGACAGATTCCTCATCAGCTTAACTCATCCACCTACTCTGGCAAGAATGTTTTGCTCATCTCACCATCCTCATCGACCTGAGATCCTCATCAGCACAAGATCCTCATGGTCCTAGGATTACCGGCCCCCTCTGAGTCATCTGTTACTCCCTATGAACCCAATAGATAGTGGCAAGCTCGGGGTGCCTTCCTCTTCGCTGTCCAAGAGCAGCACTGATCAGGCCCAAAGCTCAGCTTCTCTCTAATTCCCATTTCCTGTCTTTATTCTTTAATTCGATTTGTGTTGTAGTGGCTCACAGGAGACCAGGACCCACTGCAGGGGTTCTGGTAATGTCCCCTTTCCTGTTCCCTATACACCATCCATTCTACTACAATTTCCAATGCATGTCAACAAGTTTCTCATGGGAATTGCTTTGATCTTGATTTCTTAATGGTGAGATATCAAATATGAAACATTTTCCTGAGAATTTTGGATACCATAATTTTATGGTTATACTGAGGACAAGCTCTCCTGTTAAGTAGTTCCCTGTAGAAGCTAGGGTCTTTAGGAAGTGTCCAGCTCCTCATCTGTGGGTGTCTTTTCAAAAGTAGGACTCCTGGGAGTTGGGACAGGTAATCCAGGTGGTGCACTTATTAGTTAAACTTAATAATTAATCGATCAATTAAACTGAAATGACCAATAAAAAGGCATTAATGCTCTTCCATTTGGCCTCACTGAATACAAACATGGATAAAGCAGCAGTCCTTACCTGCTTAAGGTGTGTGTGTTTGTGTGCATGTGTGTGTGGTTTTAAATGCAAAAATAACCACAGGACATGCAGGAATATGATTTAGAGTAGCTAGCAGGTGAGGGCTGAGAGGAGGAAGAGAGGAAATCTGGTTGAGCGGAATAAGACACAATTAAAAGTAGACAGGGCTAAGTAAAGATGTCAGACTTGAAATATAGCTTAGGTTTTGTCAAAAGGAAACAGAGATGAGGATGTTTTATGTAAAAGAACAGCAAAAACAATACCACTCATTGAAACTGGCATTTACTGAGAACATACCTTCTGTTCAGCCCCATGCTAAAGATTTCATGAATGTTAACCCCTGTAGCCTGCACGTGCATTCGGCATGGTACAGACTTTTACTGTCTCCATACAGAAGAGGGACATGAAACGCTCCTTAATGCCCGGGCCGTATTGCTAAAAGTAGCACAGGCTAAAACTGGCTCAGGTTCACCAACTGAGAAACCTAGTTTGAAGAGATTATTTTGTGTATATCAATAAATAAAAAGGACTAATTCTAGAAATGCAGGTCAGAATTTCCCAAGGCTCCAAGTGCTGAGTTAAAAGCTTTGTGCTTAATTGACAGGCGATGCAAGGCCACTAACGTGTTTGAACGGGTTTTTACACCATCACATAGCCAGCTCTGAGGGGAGCAGAGAGTGAAGAAGTACAGTGGGACCAAGGTGCCTTTGTCATCGGCTCTCCAGGTAGGAAGCAGCTCACATGCTGAAAGAAGGTAAGAGACCCAGGGAGCACAAAATCAAATCCTCAGGACTGGCCGAGGAATTTGTGAGTGCTGAAAATCTTAGAGAAAATAAGGAATCAACAATGACTCCAAAAGCTGGGGTCTGTCTGAGGCTGAAACAATGATTTCAGACATAGAAACTGGAAAATAAGGGCCAGGGATTTAGCTCAGTGGTTTCATCGCCTGCTGTGCAAGCACAAGGACCGGAGTTAGATCCCTGGTACCAAAAAAAAAAAAAAAGAAAGAAAAGAAATTGGAAAATAAATGTTGTTGAAGAGAAGGAAATGTTGATGACGTCCCCTCCTCCTGAAGCCTTTCCCATGACCAGTGTCACAAGTTACAGCCTACCTTGAAATTTTACAACTGGAGGAGGAGTAAACACGACAGTGTTGCTTTTGCGAGATGCACATTTTCCTGGTGTTCTTCATAGTGTACCCAGCCTCACGCACGTGGGGAGGGGCCTCCAGCGTCTATCCCAGATAACCCTGCAGAAGCCTTTCCTCTTCCAGCCATGTTCGCATGCAGGGTTTTGTTCCCTTGCACTTGGCACTGTTCCATTAATTTTCCAGAGGCAGCCTGGCTGTACCTGCATCTCCCCGCTGTGCTCTGCATGCTGTCCTTTACAAGTACCAGGGACATTCTCTGCTTTATAAGCAGCATCTATCTCTAACCATCCATCTGATCTAATACGTCTGGACAATGCATGCCTCTGCCTGCATTTCCTCTTTGTTTAAAAGGCAATTGGAAAATATTTACACACAGAGTGTTTGGCGTGTGATAGAGAGCCCAGCGCCTGCTGTGGTGCTGGCTACAGAGAAACTATTTTAATTTTGCTCAATTAGAGCCTCAGCCAGTGAACTGGGATGATATTTCCTCTTCTTCCTCTTTCAAACCGATGGAGTTGAACTGCTTAGCACCAGAAGGCAGGGAGGAAAGCACGGGGTTCCTAAGGAGGAAGAAGGGAAGGGGAGGTCCCCAGGTAGAAGTCCTCCTGACATCGAGGCACCCTAGTGCTGAGTAAGGCGGCTGCTGGTCCTTGCCTTGTCTCCAGACTCCAGGGAATAGGAAATAAGCTGACCAAGGCTTGGAGGAAATTGGCAAAATAACATTACCCTTCATTCTGTCTTGATACAACCCTTAAACTCCAAGCATACAAGGCCTGCACAGTTAAACACTAATGGTTTAGAGTTGGTTTTTTTCCTCCAATTCATTCTGATGAACACTACATACAAAACATACGGAAACACTCAAAGATGAGCACATTATATTCCTCCTCCTTAAATTTGACAATTGTAATTTAAACTATTATTGTTAACATTTTACAATATTTGCTTTTTTGTGTGTATCCATATACAAAGTGTGCTAAAAAAAAAAAACTACAGTGAATGTTTAAATTTTTTAAAATGTGTTACAGTTAAAGACATGTGACCATGAATTCCCCCCCCAAAATAGTCCCCTTGATCAAACATACTTATGCCATTGTCCTCACCACTTCCGGAAGCAGTTCTGGAGTCCTCTTTCCTGAGTGTCATTAGTTTCCCTGTACTGGCTCCGCTGAAGTCCTGAACCAATTCAAAACGTTGACCTTTCAAGATGCTTCGACTTTGGGGAGGAGCCAGAAGTTGCAGCAGGCTGGATCTGATGAATGAAGTGGGTGAGGACACAGCACCATGTTTGTAAGAGCCTGCCTTTCTGTTGGAGAGAACTTGGCAGTAGTGTTCGCTGTATTTTTTATCATGCTTCTTAAAGACACACATATTTCGCCTGGTTTACCCCATCAATATTGCTACACAGACCCAATTCCCTTATTCCTGCGGCTGTTACACCATGCCACATTTTAGAACTAGTCCACAGTGGAGGTGTCTGCTGTTGGTTGTTGCTTGGATACCCTATTTTCAAATGCATGTTCCAATCTATGCATATTGCTAAGGGCATTGTCCATCATTTTCTTATCAGTTGGGGTGGTGCTGTAGTGAGAGTGTGAGTCTTTGTAAAGCATGTATTCCAAGCATAGTCTCCCAGCACTAGCCTTCTTGTTCTCCCGGCTGTGCATTGTCCTGAGGACTTGTGTATTTTAATGAATTCCAAGTTATCAGTCTCTCTCTTTGGGGCTAATTCCCTGTGTGTCCTCTTTATGCATTCTGCCTACTTCGAAGTCATGAATACCCTCTCCTGCGCTGCTGTCAGTGAGCTCTATTGTTTTACCTTTTACATTCAGACACGTAACCTATCCACACTTGACACTTGCTTGTGATGTAACTAAGGCTCAGGTTCACCTTTTTGTACACAAACAACCAGTTGAAACACTTCCCTTATTGACATGACCGCTCTCTACTTCCTGGCTGTCCTGCACGGGGACCAGGGTGGTTGGCAGCTCGCTCTCTGGGCCGGCAGCTATGCCGCTCCGACCCATGTGTTTAAGTCCAGATGGCACAGCACTGTCCAAATCACTGTAGCCTAAGCAAACATGGAAATCTGTGTCTGTCTCTCGGGTTTGTTGATTGTAAAAATTCAGTAAAACCCCAACTGTTCTTGGCCCCCTGAGATTGCATACATAATTAGGATTCACCTCGCCAATTTCTAGGGAAAATATTTCCCAAGGATTTGGAGTTTTCATTGAATCCATGGATCCAGGTCAGAAAATTGACATCTTTATAATTCTACAGCTTCTAATCCACAAGCTAGGAATAGCTCTCTATTTATGTAAGTCTAGTTTTGTTTTTCTCAGCAATTTTCCACATTTCTGTATAAAATCCTTATATGTTTTTGTTAGATTT